ACCCAGGAACAGAGTGCCCAGGACAGGCAGATGGGGCTGGTGTAAGGGGAGGGGGAAGCAGGGGAAGATGCAGGGTTGAGCCGTCTGGGGAGGGGGTGGAGGAGCGGGGGTCCTAACATCCAGGCAGCAGGGGGAGAACCACTGACACCCTAAATGCCACCTTGAAAGTCAAAGTCAAAGTCGCTCAGTCGTGTCTGATTCTTGGCGACTCCATGGACTTAGTCCATGGAATTCTCCAGGCCAGAATACTGGAGTGGGGTAGCCTTCCCCTTCTCCAGGGGATCTTCCCAACCCAGGAATCGAACCGGGGTCTCCTGCATTGCAGGTGGATTCTTTACCAAGTGAGCTGTCAGGGAAGCCCAAATGCCACCTTCAGTTCAGTTCAGTTCAGTCGCTCAGTCATGTCCGACTCTTTGCAACCCCATGAATCGCAGCACGCCAGGCCTCCCTGTCCATCACCAACTCCTGGAGTTTACTCAAACTCATGCCCATCGAGTCAGTGATGCCATCCAGCCATCTCATCTTCTGTCGTCCCCTTCTCCTCCTGCCCCCAATCCCTCCCAGCATCAGGGTCTTTTCCAGTGAGTCAACTCTTCGCATGAGGTGGCCAAAGTATTGGAGTTTCAGCTTCAGCATCAGTCCTTCCAATGAACACCTAGGACTGATCTCCTTTAGGATGGACTGGTTGGATCTCCTTACAGTCCAAGGGACTCTCAATGCCACCTTAGAGCTCCCAAATTCAAGTCAATTTTCTCATTACACCCCTATGAGAACTCTTACTACATTGTCCCAGGTTGTATACAAGGCCAACAGGGCCAACACAAACCAGGAAGCAGTCATGCCAGCACCAGGATACAGAGCTCCTAACTGTGACTACAGACCTGATCCTGCAGCCGTCACTCCCAGCAAGAGAAAACCCCGCACTCACACCAACTGAGGCCCAGCCAACCGGGACCTCGCCTGGGCTCCCGCCTCCGTGCCCAGCACCGCCAAAGGCAGACACTGAGCTTGGGTCCAAGCTGGTCACCAGGAACACTGGGGCAAGTCCACGGCGCCCAAGCAAGTGATCCGTCAGGTTCAAAGTGTGGGCCACACTGCCGGACACCTTCTTAAACGTCAACAGCCTTACACTACGGGGGAGGGTGCTGATGAGAGTTTGAGACATAGAGACCTCACAGACCTGTGAGTGAGTCTTCCCGGTGCTCTTCTGGCTTTTCCCTCATCATCCTAGGGAACTGCTGGAAAGTTCTCTGCCTTAAGGAGATGGGGAGCACACCCACACAGAGATGGAGTCCAAGGCAGAGCCCCTCTGTAAGTTCGTCACTTTCAACTGGGACCCACGGAAAGAAACCCGCCTCCATTATTACCCAAAGCACTCGGGGGTCAGCACTGGGCCCTTGGGGCCTGACAACAGGAGACACGGCTTTGAGCTCAAGTGACCAGGCCTAGGGCTTCTTCCCAGACGGCTCAGTGGTAAAGAACCCGGCTGCCATTGCAAGAGACATAAGAGATGAGGGCTGAATCCCTGGGTAGGGAAGATTCCCTGGAGAGGAAATGGCAACCCGCTGCAGTCCTCTTGCCTGGAGAATCCCATGAACAGAGGGGCCTGGTGGGTTACAGTCCACGAAGTCACAAAGAGCCAGACACGACTGAGTGATTGAACACACACCCCCTCAGGCCCAGGTGTGACCCCCACCCCTGCCCCCACTGCCTGGGGCAGCCCCCCCGCCCCCAAGCTCAGTGGGAAGTGCAGAGAGCAAGACCATGGCCCCTCCTTTCCTCACTCAGAAAGAAAGAACTCTCGGAGGGACGCGAGGCCTGGGACTTGAGCTCCAGCCAGAACATCCAGTTCAGCCGTGGTTCCTCCCCAGGGCCTCACCTGCCTCCGCTGCAGAGTAACACCAGGATTTGGTGATGGCTCGGTTGGTAAAGAATCTGCCTGCAAGGCAGGAGACCCGGGTTTGAATCCTGGGTTGGGAAGAACCCCTGGAGGAGGGAACGGCTACCCACTCCAGTACGCTGACCTGGAGAATTCCACGGACTGTATAGTCCATGGGGTCCCAAAGAGACTGAGCAACTTTCACTTCACTTGGTGATTTTACTAAAGATGGCTCCCACCTTATGAAAACAGACTCATAGACACAGAGAACAAGGGCTGGGTGCTGGAGGGTGGAGGGAGGTGATTTGAAGAAGAGGATCAAGAGGGAGAACCCTCCAGTTAGGAAGTAGATAAGTCCTGGGATGCAGCATACAGGATAAAGAATATGGTCAATGATCTTGTAATAACTCTGTGTGGGGACAGATGGTTACCAGACTGACCCTGATGATCACAATGCACGCATGTCAAATCACTCTGTAGTAGACCTGAAACTAACACAACATGGTTCATTAGCTATATGTCAATTGTTTCAGACTTCCCTGGTGGCCCAGTGGATGGGAGTCCACCTGCCAGTGCTTGGGACACCGGTTCGATCGCTGGTCCAGGAAGATTCCACACGCCACGGAGCAACTAAGCCTCCAGGCCGTAGCTACCGAGCCCGAGCCCTAGAGCCCGCATGCCTCAGCCACTGAGCCCGCATGCCTAGAGGCTGTGCTCCGCAATAAGAGAAGACACCGCAGTGAGACGTCCACACACCACAGCTACAGAGCAGCTCCGGCTTGCCGCAACAGGAGAAGCACCCCCACATCAGCGAAGACCCAGCGCGGCCGAAAATAAGTAAATAAGAGACGTTTTAAAAGTTTGCTCCCACCTATACTTATTCCACAAATGTTTACTAAGTTAGCCAAATACACCAGGCACTATTTCCTAAGACGGTACTTTTACCCCAGACTGGGGCTCTTAAAGAAGAGAATTTTCTCACAGTCTCAGAGGCTGGGAAGTTCAAGATCAAGGTGTCAGCAAGGCTGGTTTCTCCCGAGGCCTCTCTCCTCGCCTTGGGGACACCCGTCTTCTCTCTGCGACCTCCCATGGTCCCCCCTCTGAGTGCTGCTGAGTCCTCGTCCCCTCTGCCTGTAAGGACACCAGTTTTAGCCCATCAGGACCCCGTAGTGGTCTCTTCTCGACCTGACAGCGTCTGTCAAGACTCGTCTCCAAATACAGCCCCGTTCTGGGACACTGGGGGTTCGGACTTCAACCGGCCAGTTTTGGGTGGACGCAGTTCGGTCCATAAGATGGATACTGAATCTTAAAAAAGACAAAGAAAACAGAGTCCCGGGACCCGTCAGAATCCAGGAGATGTGACTACAGCCCCACCCAGAGAAGAGCTCAAACCCAGACGGGACCATCAAAGCAGGAGCCGAGAAGCGGAAGGCATGGGGACTCGCCTCACCCAAAACCACTGCGGAGAAACCCCACCCGGCCCCAGGGAACCTTGCGCGCGCGCGCGCGTGTGTGTGTGTGGGGACCAGGTCACAGATGCTTTGACACCTGTGCTGCAGGTACCGGTGGCTCCCACCACATCCGCATCCCCAGGGAAGCCCCAGGGAGCCATCTTTCCAGGCGGCACCCAGCAGCTTTGGCGCTCAGATCAAGGCCCGGAGAGTAGAAACAACAGCAAAGCGCAGAGCAGAGGCCAAATCCCTCCTCCGCCCAGCCCCTCCTTCTCCCCAGGAAGTCACCCGCTGTCCGGCTGCTAGCTCCATCCAGCCGAGACTGCTCTTACAAACAGCTGACCCAGATTCTCGGCTTGAATTAGGATGTTTCCAGGGCAGGCCAGGACGTACAGGGATGAATTTAAATGTTTCTTAAAAGCAAACTCGGGCTGCCCTCCCCAGCGGGGACCGCGGTGTGGGCACCAGCCAGCGGCCGCGACCCCCAGGCGGGACCTCATCTCGGTTCTCCTGCATCCTGGGCCTCCTTCCCCACGCTCCACGCTGACTCACGGAACCACTGCAGAGACATCTGTGTTTTAAATTTTAATTAACCCACATTCTTTCCTAGATCTCCTGACCTGATTTTCCATTCTCTCCCTGCTGGGACCTCCATGTAGCCATAGAGTCACGTTCCATGTTAACCCCCATACCCATCAAACAGGGACTTGACCCTCCAAGCAAAGGACACGCACATCAGGCAGCAAGCAGGAACTGGTGACAAATGAACGCGCTGATTAGGGCCACTGTTCCCCTGGACCACCGCACCTGGGATCACAAGGGTGGAGGGGAGGGGCCCAGTCCAGGCCAGTCGTGGGCGAGGGAATGTGGACCCCACAGACCCAGAAATGGTCATCAACCCAGGGTCCCAGCCGCTGAATCTGAAATTCATGCTCCCCGCAGCCCCTCCCAGCCAGGGACCTAGAGCAGCAAGGTGGAGAAAGCAGGCCTGCTCCTAGGAGCCAGCTCCTCTGATGGCCTGGCAGGACCTCTCCTCGGCTGCAGGCCTCCCAGAATGCCATCAACCTCCCCTCCTTCCCTGGGGTCAGACCTGCATGGCTGCCCACCTCCTCATGTTCCCTCCCACAGACATGCTCATGTTCAAACTTTTAATTCCCTTGCTTCCCAGAAAGTGAAAGTCTCTCAGTCTCTTTGAGACCCCATGGACTATATACAGTCCATGGAATTCTCCAGGCCAGAATACTGGAGCGGGTAGCCTATCCCTTCTCCAGGGCATCTTCCCGACCCAGGAATCGAACTGGGGTCTCCTGCATTGCAGGTGGATGTTTTACCAACTGAGCTATCAGGGAAGCAAAACAAGAGACCAGCTGCCGGGCCTCACGCCTCCTTAACTGACCCCATCCTTCACCGGACAGTGGCCAAGCCCTTCCTCCCAGCCCCCCACCCCCAGAGTCTGTCCTTCAACGCAGCAACCAGACTGACCTCCACCTGTGGCCTGACCCTGCTCCTGTCTGGCCAGACATCGTCTGCAGCCCCTTTTCTCCCTCTGCTCTGGCCCCTGGCCCCCGTCTCTCTGCACGGCTGTTCCGTCCACCGGCAGCTCTTCCCAGATGCCCGGCCCTGACCACCAGCTCCTGGGGCAGCCTCCCCTCTCCCTCCCTCTGCTCCAGTTTCCTCCACGACAAGGACACAGTGCACAGCATCACTCACGCCGCCTCAGCACTCCACAAGAACAAGGCGGGCCAGGTATCCATCTGCTTACCAGCGAAGCCCCAGGAACCAGGAAGGGCGCCTGCATTCAACAAGGGGACGATGGAGCAGAGGAGGGAAAACCTAAGCGTCTTTACACGGTCATCTCCTAGGACTTTTCAGAAGAGGAAAATAAAGGGGAGAAACGATAAAACTTTTCAGAGCAGAAAAGAGATTCAAGTCTTCACGGTGAAAGAATAAGCCGAGTCCTGAGAGGGGACGAAAGTAAAATAAAATAAAAATGAATTCTCTTCAAAATATATAGAGAACTCTTGAAACTTAGAAAACAAACATCACAATTTTTTAAAAGGCCAACAAATTTGAACTGACGCTTCACCAAAGAAGACATACAAACGGCAAAAAGCATATAGAAAGATGCACAATGTCGTTAGTCATTAAGAAGCTGCAAATTAAGGCCGCAATGAGGTGCTGCTAAACACTTATTAGAAAGGCTGAAATCAAAAAGCTGGACAAGGGACCTCCCTGGTGGTCCAGTGGCTAAGACTCCACACTCCCAATGCAGGGGACCCAGGTTCAATCCCTGGTCAAGAAACTAAATCTCACATGCCACAACTAAAAAAAAGAAAAGAAAACAGAAAAATGTCCCGTGTGCCACAATGAAGATGGCAGATCCCACATGCAACAGCTAAGACCCAGTACACACAAATAAATAAGTAAAATATTTTAAAAGTAAATTAATTAATTAAATGGTGTTCTGTTTAAAGGAAAATAAATTTTAAATATGGCCAATTTTGTTGCCAGAGCTGTGCCAGGCCCTTGCTCAAAACCTACCATCCCCCACCTTTACCATGAGTTAATAAATCTTTAAGCCACAGATTCTAGAGATAAGAAAGGAAGCTCTAGAGAGAGACAAACAAAAACCAGATGGCACAAACTGGAATCAATATGGCCTTGAATCTGACCTCCAGTAGACCCTGAGTCCATTATACCCTGATTTTAATGTATTGAATGACACACCTATTGGCAGCCATGACTGGAAATTACAATCCAAAAAAGGACCTTTGTCAGCAAAGTGATGTCTCTGCCTTTTAATACGTTATCTAGGTTTGTCATAGCTTTTCTTCCAAGAAGCAAGCACCTTTTAATTTCATGACTGCAGTCACCATCCTCAGTGATTTTGGAGCCCCAGAAAATAAAGTCTGTCACTATTCCCACTGTTTCCCCATCTATTTGCCATGAGCTAGTGGAGGTGATGGAATTCCAGCTGAGCTATTTCAAATCCTAAAAGATGATGCTGTGAAAGTGCTGCACTCAATATGCCAGCAAATTTGGAAAACTCAGCATTGGCCACAGGACTGAAAAAGGTCAGTTGTCACTCCAATCCCAAGGAAGGGCGATGCCAAAGAATGCTCAAACTACTGCACAATTGAGTTCTCTCACACACTAGCAAAGTAATGCTCAATATTCTCCAAGCCAGGCTTTAACAGTACGTGAACTGTGAACTTCCAGATGTTCAAGCTGGATTTAGAAAAGGCAGAGGAACCAGAGATTAAATTGCCAACATCTGTTGGATCATAGAAAAAGCAAGAGAATTTCAGAGAAATATCTGTTTCTGCCTAATTAATTATGCTAAAGTCTTTGACTATGTGGATCACAACAAACTGTGGAAAATTCTTCAAGATATAGGAATACCAGACAGCCTTACCTGCCTCCTGAGAAATCTGTATGCAGGTCAAGAAGCAATAGTTAGAATCGGACATGGAACAACAGACTGGTTCCAAGTTGGGGAAGGAGTGCATCAAGGCTATATATTTTCACCCTGCTTATTTAACTTATATGCAGAGTATATCATGAGAAATACCGGACTGGATGAAGCACAAGCTGGAATCAAGATTGGGGAAGAAATACCAATAACCTCAGATATGCTCCATCCTAAAGGAGATCAATCCTGTGTGTTCATTGGAAGGACCGATGTTGCAGCTGAAACTCCAATACTTTGGCCTGATGTGAAGAGCTGACTCATTGGAAAAGACCCTGATGCTAGGAAAGATTGAGGGCAGGAGGAGAAGGGGACGACAGAAGATGAGATGGTTGGATGGCATCACCGACTCGATGGACATGAATTTGGGTGGACTCCGGGAGGTGGTGATGGACAGGGAGGCCTGGCGTGCTGTGGTTCATGGGGTCCCAATGAGTCAGACAAGACTGAGAGACTGAACTGAACTGATTTTCCGTGAAGTGATGGGACCAGATGCCATGATCTTAGTTCTCTGAAAGTTGAGTTTTATGCCAGCTTTTTCACTCTCCTCTTTCACCTTCATCAAGAGGCTCTTTAGTTCCTCTTTGCTTTCTGTCATTAGGGTGGTATCATCAGCATATCTGAAGTGTATGTTAGTCACTCAGTCGTGTCTGACTCTTTGCAGCCCCACGGACTGGAGCCCTCCAGGCTTCCTCTGTCCTTGGAATTCTCCAGGAAAGAATACTGTCATGGGTTACCACTTCCTTCTCCAGGGAATCTTTCCAACCAAGGGATAGAACGCAGGTCTCCTGCATTACAGGCAGATTTTTTACCATCTGAATCACTAGGGAACCTCTGTATCTGAGGTTGTGTATATTTCTCCTGGAAATCTTGATTTCAGCTTGTGATTCATCCAGCCCAGCATGTCTCATGATGTACTCGACATATAAGATAAATAAACAGGATGCCAGTATACAGCCTTGACGTACTCCTTTCCCAATTTGGAACCAGTTCATTGTTTCACATCCGGTTGTAAGTGTTGCTTCTTGGCCTGCCTACAGGTTTCTCAGGAGACAGGTAAGGTGGTCTGGTATTCTCATCTCTTTAAGAATTTTCCAGTTTGTTGTGATCCACACAGTCAAAGGCTTTAGCATAGTTAATGAAGCAGAAATAGATGTTTTTCTGGAAATTTCTTGCTTTATCTATGATCTAACAGATGTTGGCAATTTGAGCTCTGTTTCTTCTGCCTTTTCTGAATCCAGCTTGTACATCTGGAAGTTCTCGGTTCACATACGATTGAAGACCAACTTGAAGGATTTTGAGCATTACCTTGCTAGCATGTGAAATAAGCTCAATTGTCCAATAGTTTGAACGTTCTTCAGCTCTGCTCTTCTTTGGGACTGGAGTGACAACCGACCTTTTTCAGTCCTGTGGCCACTGTTGAGTTTCCAAATTTGCTGGCATATTGAGTGCCACACTTTCACAGCATCATCTTTTAGGATTTGAAATAGCTCAGCTGGAATTCCATCACCTCCACTAGCTTTCATTGCAATGCTGCTTAAGACCCAATTGACTTCACATTTCAGGATGTCTGGCTCCAGGTGGGTGACTACACCCTCATGGTTATCCGAGTCATTAAGACCTGTTTTGCACAGTTCTGTGTAGTCTTACCACCTCTTCTTAATCTCTTCTGCTTCTGGTAGGTCCATACCATTTCTGTCCTTTACTGTGCCCAGTTTTACATGAAATGTTCCCTTGGTGTCTCTAATTATCTTGAGAGATCTCTAGTCTTTCCCATTCTATTGTTTCCTTTATTTCTTTGCATTGATCAGTTAAGAAGGCTACCTTATCTCTCCTTGCTATTCTTTGTAACTCGGCATTCAGTTGGGTAGGTCTTTTCCTTTCTCCATTGTTTTTCGCTTCTCTTCTTTTCTTAGCTATTTGTAAGGCCTCCTCAGGCAACTCTTTTGCCTTCCTTTCATTTCTTTTTCTTGAGGATGGTTTTGGTCACCACTTCTGTACAAAGTTAAAAACCTCTGTCCATAGTTCTTCAGGTCCTCTGTCCATCAGATCTAATCCCTTGAATTTACTTGTCACTTCCACTGCATAATCATAAGGGAAAAGATCTAGATCACACCTGAATGGCCTAATGGTTTTCCCTACTTTCTTCAATTCAAGTCTGAATTTTGCAATAAGGAGCTCATGATCTTAGCCACAGTCAGACCCAGGTCTTGGTTTTGCTGACTGTATAGAGTTTCTCCATCTTCGGCTACAAAGAATATAGTCAATCTGATTTTTATATTGATCATCTGGCGATGTCCACGTGTTGAGTCATCTCTTGTGTTGTTGGAAGAGAGTATTTGCTCTTACCAGTGCATTCTTTCGGCAAAACTCTGTTAGCCTTTGCCCTGCTTCATTCTGTACTCCAAGGCCTAACTTGCCTGTTACTCCAGGTATCTCTTGACTTCCTACTTTTGCATTCCAATCCCCTATAATGAAAAGGACATCTTTTTCTGGTGTTAGTTCTAGAAGGTCTTGTAGGTCTTCACATAATTGTTCAACTTTGGCTTCTTTGGCCTTAGTGATTGGGGCGTAGATCTGGATTACTATGATGTTGAATGGTCTGCCTTGGAAACGAAGGGAGATCATTCTGTCGTTTTTGAGACTGCTCCCAAGTACCACATTTCGGACTGTTTTGTTGACTATCAGGGCTATTCCATTCATTCTAAGGGATTCTTGCCCACAGTAGTAGATATAATGATCATCTGAATTAAATTTACCGATTCTCATCCATTTTAGTTCACTGATTCCTCAAATGTCAATGTTCACTCTTGCCATCTCCTGTTTGACCACTTCCAATTTACCTAACACTCCAGGTTCCTATTCAATACTGTTCTTTACAGCATCAGACTTTAATTCACCACCAGACACATGCACAACTGGGCGTCGTTTCCGCTTTGACTCAGCCTCTTCATTCCTTCTGGAGCTATTTCTCTGCTCTTCCCCAGCAACATATTGGATACCTACCAACCTGGGAGGCTCATCTTCCAGTTTCACATCTTCTTGACTTTTCATTCTGTTCATGGGGTTCTCAAGGCAAGAATACTGAAGTGGTTTGCTGTTCCCTTCTCCAGTGGACCACGTTTTGTCAGAACGCTCCACCGTGATCCTGTCTGTCTTGGATGGCCCTGCATGCATGGGTCGTAGTTTCATTGAGTTACACAAGGCTGTGATCCATGTGATCATTTTGCTTAGTTTTCTGTGGTTTTCATTCTGAAGGCCATGGGAAAGCAGTTCCTCCTTCTTCTGTCTGCCCCCTGACAGATGAGGATAGAGGCTTGTGTAAGTTTCCTGATGGGAGGGAGTGACTCTGGGGAAAACTAGGTCTTGCTCTGGTGGGCAGGCCCAAGCTCAGTAAATCTTTAATCCAATTTTCTGCTGATGGGTGGGGCTGTGCTCCCTCGCTGTAGCTTGGCCTGAGGTGGCCCAGTCCTGGAGTCCGCAGTCTCTTTGGTAGCATTACAGCCTCTGTAATAAGACTAATGGCAACCTGCACCATGAGAACTTATGCTAACATGCCGCACCTCCCCTGACTGGTGCTGTAAGGACCCACGCCTCCGCAGGAGACCCTCAGACACTCACAGGCAGGTCTGGCCCAGTCTCCTGTGGGGGGTCACTGCTCCTCTCCCCTGGGTCCTGCTGCGCACAAGGTTTTGTTTGTGCCTTCCAAGAGTCTCTGGCGGGTATGGGGTTTGATTTTAAAGTGATTGCGCCCCTTCTGCCATCTCGTTGCAGCGTCTCCTCTGTTCTGAGACATGGGGTATGTTTCTTGGAGGGTTCCAACGCTCTCCTGTCGATGGCTGTGCAGCCACTAGTTGTGATTCTGGTGTTCTCACAGGAGAGGATGAGCGCACGTCCTTCTGCTCTGTCATCTTGGATGTGTTCACAGGCACAGACATATGTCAAAACTTATCATATTATACATTTTAAACATGTGCAATTTACTGTATTTAGTTACACCTTAATACTGGGCTTTCCTGGTGGCTCTGGGCTTCCCTGGCTGGCTCAGATGGTAAAGCATCTGCCTGCAATGCAAGAGACTTGGGTTTGACCCCTGTGTTGGGAAGATCCCCTGGAGGAAGACATGGCAACCCACTCCAGTGTTCTTGCCTGGAGATTCTCTCTGGACAGAGGAGCCTGGCGGGCTACAGTCTATGGGGTCGCAAAGAGTCGGACATGACTGAGCGACTAACACACACACAGATATTATTATTCAGCTTTACCAGGAATAGACACGGTCAGTAAATGACAGAAAAACGACCAAGTCACCAAGACAGCAATGTGACTGTAAACAAATGTGTACCAGACAACAAGGTCTTACTGTAGGGCACAGGGAATAATATTCTATGATAAACCATAATGGAAAAGAATATTTTAAAAAAGAATATATATATGTGTGTGTCTGTGTGCATAACAGAGTCACTTTGCTATACTGCAGAAACCAGCAATGTTGTAAGCCAACCAGACTTCAATGAAAATAAAATGTGTAAGTGACAACACAGCCTCAAGATCTCTAAAGTGAAGGCTGAGAGAACTTAAGAGAGAAAGGCACAGAGCCACTGTCTTAGGAAGAGATTTCAACTCATCCTTCAGGTATCGATGCTTCAGATACTGACAGAAGAAAACCAGCATGGAGGTAAAAGATCTGGAGCCCCGTGGGTGACACACAGAGCGTTTTGCGGCCTCTAAGGAAGGAATGCACACAGGTGCCCTTTATAAAAACCTGTCACGGGCCTTCCCTGTGGCCCCGGGGCTAAGACTCCACACCCCCAATGCAGGGGCCCAGGGAACTCAGACCCCACCTGAGTTCACACTAATGGTCCCATAGTGATCCCACTAGAGTGTGCCACAACTGAAGGATCCAGGGCAGCCAAATAAATAAATATTTTTTAAAAAAATCTGCCATGGGCCCAGCTGTCCTCCACCTGCCCTATACAAGGTCCAGGGCGGCCCCTGGGGGCTTCGGAGTCCCCCACGGACCACAGGTCCTGAGAGTGGGGACAGCGGCCAGTTTGCTGGGCTTTCCCAGAGCCTGACGCCAGAGGACCGGTCACCCCGCACTCCCACCTACCCCTCATCCAGCCTCCTGGTCCCTCACCACACCCAGACCAAGGCCCATTTCCTCTCGCCCCTCCACAGGCCTCAGAAGGGCAGACGTTGCCCAGCATTGGCTCCCCTGCGGCCACCCTGCTAGGCGCCTCAGGGAGCTCTCCTTCCACCGCTTTCAGGCACACACCTGCAGTCACCCTTCACACTTCACGTCACCACCTCTTCATCCTCCACGAGCCCATGTCCCTGTTTCATTCTGAGCCCTTACACCTGCTGTTCCCTGCCTGGAAACCCCCCCCCCTGTTCCTCTGGCCACTTGCTGCTCAGAATGTGCAGCTTTGTGGAATCTGTCACTTTCCAAGTCAGTTGCGTTCTGCTTTGCGCTCAGCTCATCAGGTTCCCACTGTCTCTGGTTTAGGTCTGTCCACACCCGAGAGCAAGGACCACAGCCATCAGGTCACCGCGGTATCCTGGGGCCTCACGCATGGCCTGTATTCAGGAGGTGGCCGGTAAACATTGATTTCTTAGCCCATCCAAAGCGGTGGCTACAACACTGCACGCCCCACAAGCATCTGGCCCCACCCTCCTCCCCAGCACACTCTAAGCCCTGCCTGCCACTGCTGGGGCTACTCACGTTCTTTCCAAACGTGGTCGACACCTCCACCCCCATGGTTGGCTCCTGCTATTCACCGCCCCAGGACAGATGCCAACACCCTTCCTTCTCCCTCTGAGGCTGGGTCTCCTTTCCTGCCCACCCTAGCCCACGGTGCTTCTCTGAACGCGAGGTATTCTGGATTTAGCAGTTGTCACGTTGCATCAGACATAGAAAGTCGGTGTTCTTGGAGGCACAGAGGAGGTACTCAAGGTGTGTTGCTGGATGAATGGAAAGTCAGGGCCACTGGGGGAGATCCTTGAAGTTTAGCATTAGATGCTATCTCAGGCCCATTGCGCCTCAGTTGAGGATGACTCTTTCATAGCTGTTTGAGTCGTAAGTATCACCACACCCCGTCCCCCAAGGCGATGGGGTATCATCACTGACCCTGATACTCAGCACCCAGTAGCTGATGTGGCAGGACACCTTCTGGGTGCCACAGTGACCTGGATGCCAATTGTAGCATCCGGTCACCAGGAGACTGGCTGGAAAGCAATGGAGTGTCCCAAAGAGGGTCAGAGAAACCTTTGGTCCCCGGATGGCCCTTGGGAGGATAAAGCATGATAAATAGATCTTTTTGTTTCAAAGTCTAGATCTCTCAAAGTAGCAGATTCGGTTGTTCAGCCTGGGAAGTCATTGGCCATGGCGTTTCTCAAAAGAGCAGTAGGAAGCTATTGGGTGGATGTGGGGCTCCCTAAATAGCCATAACTGTCCTGGATCCTGGAGTGGGCTGCCATTCCCTTCTCCAGCGAGCCACATTTTGTCAGAACTCTTCACTATGACCCGTCCGTCTTGGGTGGCCCTGCCTGGCATGGCTCATAGCTTCACTGAGTTGTGCAAGCCCCTTCGCAAGGACAAGGCTGTGATCCATGAAGGGGATAGCAGTCCATAAACAGGCACAAAACCTGGGGCTTGCCAAGGTGGAGGAGGGAACACGGGCATTCTCCAGGAGGGGTCTGGTGAGAGCTAGAGGGGTTGTCAGGGCAGAGAGAAGGCACACAGCGTCATTTGGAAGAAGACATGGTACCCATTCCAGTCCAGGGGCGGCAGGGACCCTGAATTCAGCATAGGCTCCATCCAAGGCGACCAAGCTGAACTGGCCAAGAAGCAACATCCCTGGTCACTTGGTTTAAAAGAGAAAGTGGCCAAAGATGGCATCTGACTGCGGAAGGCATCCTGACCTGTGCTGGGCCCACCCTGGGGAACTCCAGCTACACAAGCAAAGAGCCAGGCATGTCACAGTGGGAGGCCTGGGGTCCTGCAGGAGTCTCCTCGGAGCCCCCAAAATCTACACCCCTCCCTGGCCCTGAGGTCAAACCTCCACTCCATGAACAAGTCAATACAACAAACACGGTGATCTCAGGGTGATCTCTGCCCCTTGAAGCAGAACATGAAAGAATGGCCAAAACAAATTTTCCCCCAGCTCAGATCTTTCATCTGGGCCCTCGGCATCCCCGCCCGCACCCCACACCTGCCGGCCACCTGGTCAGACACCATCTCTGACCTCCCTCAGCTCTTCTAGGAGTGGCTGCCCCCAAACCTTCCGAAACAAAGCCTGAATGTAACAGCAGGTATATTACAGCTTCTTCCCACACACCAGGCACTGCGTCACCCGACACTAACGCCACCTGCCCTGGAGGCGCCGTGACCACCCCCGTCTCACGGCTGACAAGCAGGGGTCCCCAGAGGTACAGTATGCGCTGGGGTCACACATCAGTGAGCCACAGAACAGGCATCAAACCCTGACACCACCACCCCCCCGACTTCCAAGGCCCCAAGATCCCGAGCCCTCCAGCCCCGTCCTGCCTTCCTCCCTCCATGTCCCCAGCTGTCTCTTCAGTGCCTTCCCCCGGGGCTTCTCGGGGATCCCTCCCTACCCCAGGGAGCCTTCCAGCCTCATGTGCCCCTGGCCCCTCAGCTCCAAGCAGCGCATCTCGACCACCTGTCACCACAACCCAGTTAGAAAGAACCTGAGGTGACCGCCCAGCACAGGTGAGCTCGATGAGGGACCAGTGCCCAGTTTACGTCCTTCCAGTTTCCTTGAGGCGCTCTTCCACGTAAAATGTCCACCAAGAGTGACCCCCAAAGCAATCTATGGGCTTTGGGTGCTAATTATGTGTCGTTGGGGGTTCATCGACTGGAACAGAGCTCCCACCTGGTGGGGGAGTGCGTGTGGGGTGGGTTGTGGGGAGCCTGTGGCAGGCGAGGGGTAGAGGGGAGCTCTCTGTACTTTCTGCTCAGTTTACCATGAGCCCAAAGCTGCTCTAAAATAATTAAAAATAAACATTTTAACAAACACTCTTCTGGCCTCACTACACGGCTTTTACCCCTGGCCATCACCTGCAGTGTACGTCCTAGAGAACTTGATCTTGATCATACTTTTGGCCCACTTTTTTATTATTATTCCACTTGATGCCATACCAGGTAATTTAGATAAAACGAGTGCCCTCCCCAGGGTGGCTCACTGCTGGGGTTTGCTGGGACAGAGAGGAGTGGAAAGACCAGGAAAGTCCTGAGCAAACTGGGACAAGTTGTTCCCCGGAGTTCCCCTCGCAGCCAAAGCTCCGTTAGCACCGCGGAGTCTGACTTCTAACCCTTGAAAAGAACCTTGCTCAGAATCTGCAGGAGTTGAATAGACATGGGCCACTGTTTTAGGAAGATTATTCATGTTGATGGCCCCCACAGTGCCTGACCCTGGGGATGCTTCCATAAATGCTGACTGGGCTGCATGGGATCAGAATGGTTTTAAATTTCATTCCTAAATGAGGGTCTCCTTTGAGTCTCCTCGGCTCACCACTTCCATGAGGACACGGCTTCCAAAGCTCTGGCTAAAGAGCCACACGGCCAGAGGCAGAGCAATAAATGGATCTGTTCCCTGTCAAGGGGGCCAAGTCCAATGACTGCACGTGGGGTTGTCCAGACATGGTCAGATGGCACGCTTGACCTCTGAACTCTCCTTCTACAGAACCTCAATTTCACAGCACAGCACTGTGATCTTGCTTTAGCGAGACAGATCACGACCTTGCCTGGTGGTCCAGTGCTTAAGAATCACCTTCCAATGCAGGAGTTTGGGTTTGATCCTTGGTTGCAGAACTAAGATCCCACATACCAAGGGTCAATGAAGCCCAGGTGCCCTAGCGAGGATCCCATGTGCTGCAACTAAGACCCAGCACTGCCATAAGTAAATAAACAAAAAGAGTCATTAGTGGGGGAGTGGAGGAGTGTGCTGGTCCTCCCAGAGCACGTGATGGCCTCAGGCATTTCATTCCCCTCCTCCCCTCCTCGCCAAGCTCAACACACCTGCAGGGGCCATATGCATTCTAGGTAGGCTAGCTCGTGCTGGTTCAGAGTTTTCTTAGAATAATCCAAATTCTCACAACAGATGTTAATAACCGAAGAGCCAGAGAAAAACCTATCTTTTGCAAGACATGTTAAAATCTCTCAGAAGCCCAGCAGAAACAGAGACGTGAAGATGGCCAATGAACTCCTTTTGGCATTTTAATGCAAACAACCAGATACAGATAATTGCAATTCTTTAAGCTTTTTAAAAATACTTGTTTATTTTTGGCTGAACTGGGTCTTCATTGCAGCACACAGGCTTTCTCTGGTAGCGGAGAGCAGGGTTACCCTCCAGCTGCCGTGCGTGGACTTCTCATTGATGTGGCTTCTCTTGTTGCAGAGCACCGGCTCTATCGCTGGAAGGCTTCACGTTGAGGCACGTGGGCTCGGTAGTTGTGGCACACAGGTGTGGTTGCCCTGTAGCATGTGGGGTCTTCCCTGACCAGGGACCGAGTCAGTGCCCCCTGCATTGCAAGATGGATTTTTAACCACTGAACCACCAGCAAAGCCCCAGATAACTGCAATTTTAAAAGCTACTGGCATAAAGTAAGTATATCAAATTTTCTGCCTACCATTGAGCATTGGATTGGATTTTGTTGGGAACTGGCAGCTATTATTAAAATAAAAAAATTTTGTACTATGGGATGACTTGATCTGGGCAGTAAGATGAAATTAAATAAATTTTTCTATGTTTAAAAAAAATAAGGTTGCTCCCTGTGGCTCAGAGGGTAAAGACTCTGCCTGCAATGCAGAAGACTAGGGTTCGATCCCTGGGTCGGGAAGATTACCTGGAGAAGGGAATGACAACTCACTCCAGTACTCTCACCTGAAAAACCCCGTGGACAGAAGAGCCTGGCGGGCTGCGGTCCATGGGTAGCGAAGCGCTGGGCACGACTGAGCACGCACGGCAGCCACAGTCTCCCTAGTCCCTGCCAGTCCTCACTACCTGACTCACACCTTGCTGTCACTCTCGCTCCAGGGGGCTAAGACATTTCCAGAACCACACTGGCTCCTTCACACTGTAAACCCTACTAAGGGGCGACCTCGATTTACTTTGGCCTCCACTTGTGTCGCGGAGTCTATTTCATGTCTTCACCTCTCTCTCCCTCCCTCTTTGGTGGCCCTGTAGAGTTAGTGTCCCTATTTCACAGGGTGATAGTAGCTCAGAATGCTAAAAAGACTTGCACCAAGTCACACAGTAAGTCAGAGCTAAAGTTATTTATATTCGCCAAGGAACTCTCTAACTTAAAACAGTGAACAAATTTTATAAAACTATACATGCAATTGTTAACAATATTTATGGTATATATCATATTTAATTGTGGGAACGTGAGGTTTTATGTATTTGGTATATATACAGATATGTTAGATATATGTTGGTAAGGGTGAAAGAGGACAGTGAAAAAGCTGGCTTGAAACTCAACATTCAAAAAACTATGATTACGGCACCTGGTCCCATCACTTCATAGCAAACAGAAGGGGGAAAAGTGGAAGCAACGACAGATTTTCTTCTCCTGGACTC